CCTATAGCATCAGCCGAAGAACTGATGGGTGGATAGCCGGCGTGGGAGGTCTGGGGCTCCCCCTTCCCCCTCCCGGGGAGGGGGGAGCTGCGCAGACAGCGGCGCGGTGACGTATGACGTCATACTAGTTTCCGTGTTTTCTGTTGAAGAGTTCTATTCACTAGTTCGGCTTAGGTAGCAATTTTCACCAGAATAGGGGTTTGTTTTGGAATGCTTACCTTTCTGGATGCTTGACCCGGTCGATGGCAGACATAGAATGCTTCCAACCACACGGGGGTTTCTATAGGCCATTGCTCCCCTTGCCTCTCTGAGGGGGCCAGGTTCTGGCTCGTGGTCCCCGGTAGGCCCTAGAACTCCATACACATGACTGATGCCAAAGTCTGACATTAGCATATCAGCCGGTAAAGCTCCGGGGAGCCGACAGGGCTCCCCCCAGAAAGGTAGAGGATGACACCACACACAGCTTCAAGCGCAGACATGACAGAGCCCAGCAGGCCCAGGAACCTGCACATGAGCGAATGACAGGTGAGAAGCGGGAGCAAAAAGCCAGAGCCCAACTCCTGCAACACAACTAGGGAAAGACAACTAGGTAAGTACCGTACAGAGAATCTGCTTGATGGGGTTCTGGATGTGCTTCTATTACCAAAGCCCGGCCTGAGGCCGGGCTTGAGTTGTGAGAGTTTGGCCCACCAAGCTGTTGCTTGGAGCGGCCCGCAGGCCCACATACCCATCACAGCCCGGTTGGTCCGGCACTCCCTGAAGGAAACAATTTAGTTTTCTCTTGAAGATGTCCACGGTTGTTCCGGCAATATTTCTGATGCTCGCTGGTAGGACGTTGAACAACCGTGGACCTCTGATGTTTATACAGTGTTCTCTGATTGTGCCTATGGCACCTCTGCTCTTCCCTGGTTCTATTCTGCATTTTCTCCCATATCGTTCAACCAATGTATACGGAAGGTCTAAGCCAGGCACTGCAAGACATGCAAGGAAAGTGTGACCCAGATAAGACCATGAACAACAGGGCCATGACCCCCCTGGCAACCATTAACCCAGAGGAACAAGTAAGGCTCCAGGAAGAAGCACGGAAGGTCCAAACAAAAAACCCAAAACCAATCCCTCACATACATCCACAGTATGAAAACTGCTGCAAAATGTCACTTCAGAACATCCAGACAGGAACACTTACCCCATAACATATACCCACACCATTGTACCTCGTAACCTGGTGGAGGTAGGGCCCCTATCTGGACTGAAGCATGGGCTGGACATGCATAGGAGTGGGACAGGATGGGTATAAATAGGAGCTGCCATGTATGGCCCAATAGGCCTGCTGCAGTCACCTATGTTCCGATGTTCGTATATTCGTATCCAAAAATCACTAACCAGAGCCTGGCCAAAGAGAAGCCAGATCGCATAAACTCACCTGCAGAACGTAGGCACGAAAGTGTCACGAACCAACATAGCCGAGAAGATTCCGGGAGAACTGCCAGTGGAAGAAGGCAGAGCCGCACATGCAGGAGAAGAGGGTAGAGGTAACAGAGGAGCCCCACACCCATACACAGGTAAAATCCTGCGTCTGCCCCATAGCAGTAATCCAGAACACTCCCAGGAGCTACCGGGAATGGACTGGAGAATGGAGAAGAGCGAGAGGTGAAGCACCCGAGAGAAAATGAATGCAAACCCCAGCTCACGTGAACACCGCCCGTATCAAAACAAACAACCACGGCTCATGCGCAGCAGGGATGCCAGATGTGGGTCGCCAGAAGTCACAAGCCAAAGAAAGAAACCACGAATGTGACTAAAAAATAGATAAAATAGTGTTGTTAACGACCGAATCCCATATGAGAGTACACAGGGCAGCCGCCAACTTGCTCTTTTCGACCATAGTCGAAAAGAGCAGAAAGAAGCGAAAAGAAACATAGCACAGCTCCCAACTTGGGCTACAAAGAGCCAAACTGGGTTACAAGGAGCCCAATCTGGCAACCCTGTGCAACGCAGGACAGTGCACAGAGAGAAGAAATAAACACGAAAAAACAAAACTGGACCGAAAAACGAAAAGCTTGGAGAATGACCAGCAAGCCCCAGAAAGGACCGGAAGGCGACAGACATTCCAAGAATACGGGAAGAAACAAAACCTTCTCGATCCTTCTAGAACATAAAGAAGCAAACGTGAAGCACGAAGGCATGGAAGGCAAAGTCGCACCCGAGACCAAAAGTCATGCAGATCTTCAAGAAGAGGGGAACATGACTGTGAAGGCCCGTTACCTCTACCCTCCCAACATGAAGGGTGGAGAAACATACCCACTGACAGGACGGACCCGACGGATCCAAGGGACGAAGAACTGATTCCAGGGAGGGGCCAACTCCCAAAAACATGTATGGAGAGGGGGGGGGGGGAAAGAAAAACCGCTCTCCTCGTAACCGCAAGCCCCACCCAATGGGTAGAAAAACCCAGGAGGGGTCCAAATGTCAGCCCCTCACCAGCCCCGGGAACCCACAAGGCAGGCCCCGGGGCCGAGCCGTTCCCCCAAAGCACCAGCTTCACAAGAAAAAGCCCGGGCAACCAGATAAATACTAAGGAAGGGAGCCCACTGGCAGATGCATACAACACGGGTGGAAGAACAGGCTTGAATGCCCTCGTCGCAACCCCGGAAGGGGGAAATCCCTGAGACCGCTCGAGTCTCAATACCAGCGAAGCCCCGCCCCAACTCCGAACCCACGAACGGTAAGGATTCGGATGCAGGGATGAAGGGGGGGAGGGACCATAACAGGGGAAGACAAAGGGGTGAGGAAGGAACAAAACCGAAGCGTCCAACACCCCCAAGCCCCGTCACAACAACCAAAACGGGGTGGCCCCGGGGTTCCCAGGGAGCAAACGACCTAGCGCGTTGCACCACTGAAACTTAACTTGCAACGCCCGTGCTGCCTGCACCCGCATAGTCAGCATAAGACAGGGTAATCGAGCCACAAACAAGCAACAAAACTCGCAGGGCTCTGGGCCGAAGGTGCCACCGACCCCACAGGCAGCAGACGGAGGCAAAACAATGAGAGTCACCCTGAGACAAGGGGACAGAGCAACCCTCGAACCTGCACAAAGCGAGGAGGGACTCCGGGGCCACATCCATTGAACCCACGCACCCTTAGGGGTTTCCCAGGGTCCTGAGCGTTTACCAACGGGGGACTCATGCCCAGGTAATCCCAGGCACGGTACTGCTAACCGGCGCCCAAGTCTACCAAACAACCTTCTAAGAACTGAACCCCCGGGACGTGTACACTCACGGGGACCTAACAGGGGGAACCACCGGAAGAAGGAAGAGTATGCAGCACACAGGGGGGCAAGAAACAAGGCAGACCCCCCCAGGCAGACAAACAAAAAGAAAAAGAAAACCCCGCAAGAGGACAATGTACCCAGGCAGAACAGCGCTGGTCGCTGTGATTAGTGAAAACAAGCTGCGCAGTACCCTGCGCCCCTACCAGTGCAAACTGCCCCCTACCCCAAGACGAACAGGGGAGACAGAACACCCGAGCACACAAACAGCCGCCGAAAACCAAGCAGTAAATGGCCTAGCAGGGGCAGAACACAAAGAACTTGTGGAAGGTGGCCCCAAGCCCCAAGGGCAGTACTTACAGGGCACCTAGGGAAGGAAAACCCTAGGCGCATGCAGCCCGAGTATTGGAGAATCACTCCCGGCTCATGCACCACCTAGAAGACAGTCACCACATACTAGGTACAGTGCTGAAACAACCACCGGGGCCAGAGCACAAGCCCTCAGCCTTTAGCATCAGCCTTAGAACTGACGGGTGGATAGCCGGCGTGAGGGGTCTGGGGCTCCCCCTTCCCCCTCCCGGGGAGGGGGGAGCTGCACAGACAGCGACGTATGATGTCCTGATCTTTTGCTAGTTTCTTTTATGGGAGTTCTATCCACTTGTTTGGCTTTTGGTAGCAATAATTTCACCAGAATAGGGGGTTTGTTTTGGGATGCTTACCTTTCTGGGTGCCTGACCTAGTCGATGGCAGACATAGAATGCTTCCAACCACACAGGGGTTTCTATAGGCCATTGCTCTCCTTGCCTCTCTGGGGAGGGGCAGGTTCTGGCTCGTGGTCCCCGGTAGGCCCACAGAACTCCATACACATGACTGATGCCAAAGTCTGACATTAGCATATCAGCCTGGTAAGCTCTGAGAGCCAAAGGGGCTTCCCCAGTATTTGGTAATTATCATCTTTAACTAGATTCAGAATCTAAATTTTTCAGCATTGTATCTGTCACTCTTTTGTCCATGTTAAAAGTCTATTTAAACTTTATTGTAGCAATTTTGAGATGTCTAATTTGGTTTCTTGCCCTATTTTTGTAACATTTACAAATGCTGCTGTTTAATCCTGTCTAAATCATTCATATGTATGGTAAACAACATAAGTTCCAGAACACAGCCTGGGGGAACTCCACTTGCAACTCTTTCCAACTTGGATTTAATTCCATTTGTGCTAACACTGTGTCCTTTTAAATAACCATGGTGTAACCCAACTTAGGATAGCACTGCAATACCCTGCATCTTTACCTTTCTAATAAGTCTTTTGTGAGGCATAGTATCAAAGGCTTTGTCAAAGTCTAGGTATAGAATGTCCTAGTAATTTTCACACTCATGCTTGAAATATGCTTGAAAAGAATAAGAATAAATTTATTAAACACAAGTAGGTTTTAATTACCTCATGTAAATCCTTAATTACTCTGTTTCTCGAGATGTAAACAAATGATTTTGTGATCATCGATTAAAGCAATTTTTCTACAAAACATGTTAAGTCAATTGACAGATACTGTAGTTCAGCACAAGTGATCTATCTCCTCTCTTAAAAATGAGCACCACTGTCAACTTTCAAAGTTTTGGGTCACTACTCAACTATAATGATTTATGAAGCATGCAAGATAGTGTCATACATAATATGGATAGAAAACTATAGAAACTTTATTTTGTTTGAAAAATGTAAAAGCTTTGCACATACCATAAAACTTCACACAGCTGTCATTGATCTATTTATGACAAGCATTTCTTGTTCCGCTTCCCCCGAGGTCATTCCTTTTTCAAGTTCATCAAGCCGTCCTCTGTTCACCACTGGGCTTTGAGCGTACATGTAAGTTGCATATATCACAAGGGTAATGGCTGCAGCAGTCCACCAGTCGACAGGAATACCAAATATGATCTGTTATAAGGTAAATACACAATATTTGAATTGCTATATGTGCTTAAAACTACATACAAATAGTATTATAAGATTATACAGCTGTTTAATTAAATTTATTTTTGTATTTTCATTGTTGGAACAATTTGATTTTAATTCTATTAGAGAAATACTATTAAGAACCAATATGTTAACAAAGTCATTATACAGCTAGACAGAGCAATGATTGAAGACACTACTTCCCTAGCCCATTCACACTTTATTTTCATATGCGCTCCAAGTGTTATTTGAAGTAATAAGTATGTTATATAGTAGTCTTTATGTTTGTAACAAATATTAGGTAATAAGGAAATAATCGAGACTTTTTTTCAAGTCCACTACATTAGCTTATTAGAATTAATGTAAAATACAAAAGAGGCTGGCAACTGTGCAAGTTTATATTTCAAACATGTTATATTTGATGCGTATGGAGCGTTAGCGATAAAGTTGAACAGAATAAGTGTAAAGAGTGTAATTGTGTGAGGACTGTAAGAGTTGGAATGAGAGAATATGGTAATAGAGTGTGAGGTGAGGAGTGAAATAGTGCAAGAATTAAACGGACAGAGGAAAGAGAAAGTAAAAAGTTAGGAAGGAGTGTGGTTGGTAATGCGTGAAGAGTAGTGTGGTATGAAGAGCGGTGCCTTCTCACATAATTCAATGTGTCATCTGGCTCACCAGTGTTATTTGCCAGCCACACTTTCCAGCTACTATTGGACAGTTCAACCAAGGTATAATAACACACACATTTCAGGAAAGGCCAAGTAATAGTTATGTACTGTACTGATATACTAGTGTCAGGGACATGAAGCCTGTTAAGACTCATTAATAGCTATTCAGTTACTGGCTACATCCAATCTTGCTTTAACACCATCAGAAAATACCAACAATCACCAACTGTGGTACTGTATCATAAGCACACCTGAACAACCTTTCATTTGAAACAGGCAAACTTAATTTCTTGATGACATTAAAACATTATTTTTGAAACTACAACTTTTCCCAAATTTCCAAGATTTATGTGAATCTTATGGAAGTACAGTACTGGATAAGCTGTTTCTGTTACATGAAATTTATACTTTACTGAAGCAAACACCTTGAAATTTTCTATGGATATAAAAAACCAGCATTGAAGGTAATGAAACGCCATTTTCTTGGCAAGATCCGGAGCGCCCCGGAGCTATACCGGGCTGATGTGTATATATTAGACCATGGCAACAGTTAATCAATGGAATTCTTTAGCCTATCGGGGACCACAAGCCAGAACCAGCCCCCCCCCCCTCAGAGAGGCACGAGGAGCAATGGCCTATAGACACCCCCGTGTAGTTGGAAGCAGTCTATATCTGTCATCAACCTGCTCCGGCACCCAGAAAGGTAAGAATCCCAAAACAATCTACAGTTGGTGAAAACTTGCTAACTGAAAGCCGAACAAGCAAGCAGAACTCCCACAATCAAAACACAAGCAAATCCCCCCCCCCATTCCCTCTCCCCTCCCTGGGAGAGGGAATGGGGGGGGATCCTAGACCTCCCATGCCAGCTACCCACTCCCAGTTCAGAGGCTGAATATAAAAAACGGGAAAAAAACGCTGAGTGGAGGGTGGGAGGGATGCCGGGAATCCTCTGGGTCTCACCCAGAAAATGGCATTTTATTACATTCAATGTTGTTTTTTTTTGTGGAGAGTCCCTTCAGCTCCCAGGAGCTACCTAACCAAAGATAAAGTAAAAGAGGGACTTACCCGAGAGGCAGCCGCCACTCGCTCTTCAACCAAGTCGAGACAATTGGCTGCAACCTGCGACCCACGGATACACACGCCCGTGTAGGGCCAGGAACATTAACAAGGTACTATGTGGCCAGGACCCTGTTCAATCTCAAACAGCCCCATGCCTGAATGTCAGCCCAGGACATATTACAAAAAACAAACCCTAGGCGCATGCGTTTGCAGCCAAAGCCGCAAATTTACGAACGTCATGGGCACGGGGATAGATCGCTGGCTGAACTGGATAATCCTGCGGACGACCTGGGAGACCCACACCCTGGAACAGGGAAGAAGGGAAACTGGGCTAACCCAAAGCACGTCCTCTGCCACTGATGCCGTGGCGAGCAAGTAATGGCAAAGAGCCGCAACCAGACACAAAACATGATGCACCCTCCGGCCAAACCAACCAAGCATCAACAACCCAAGGACCCCATGGAAAAAGAACAGTCTCATTCTTCCCCAGAAAAGGAGGAGATGGGTGCAAACGAACAAACCGACCACCAGGACCGAAAGAGCAGAAACCCCTGCGACAGATGAGACCATGAAGCTCCATGACCCGACCTCCAGAGGCCAATGCCAACAAGAAAAGAGCCTTAGAAAATCAGTCCTGAACCGAAGAGGCCACCAAAAACTAAGAAGAGAGAAAACAGAGCACCCAGTCTAAAGACCAGGAGGGCTCACCAAGCCGGAGGTGAAACAATGCCCGAGAAATCTTGTGGAACGGAGCTGAAGTGACATCCACCCCGAACACAAGTTGAAGCGGCTCCGCCAGCTCCATACGATACGAGGCGACAGTATTTGGCATAAGACGATGGTCCTGAAACAAACAAGGGAGAAAGGACAAAAGAACATGATCAGAAATTGAAGACAACCTACGAAGAGACAAAAAGTGATGAAAAGATCGCCAGGAAACTTCATATTGCTGCCGAGACAAAACTCGCAGGTGGTACACCATCAACAAAGCCACCTGATCACCATACAAGTGGTGATAATCCCGCGTCAAAAAGACCAAATGAGAAGAGCGGAGAAGATCGAACCAGCCATGTACTGAAGTGGACTGATCTGCTGAAAAAGGCGGAGCTACAGGAAGACCCTCGGATTCGGACACCGAGTAAGCAACGCCTTAAACCAGGCCTGGGCTAACACTTAAAGAGACGCAGATGGACCACGACGACCCGGGGTAAGGAGTGTGAAAATGGGAGATGCCAAGTTCAAACCGAATGGGAGACAACGAAAGCAGTAACTCTGATGACCCACAACAAAACTGAGCCAGTCCCTGAACCCCTGATGAACTGGGACGTGCCAATACGTGTCCCGGAGGTTCAGGCACACCATCCAAGCACCCGGCTCCAACAGAAGCCGGACCTGGGACAGAGTAGTCATCCGAAAGGAGGAGCAATGGTCCGCACTATCCTGTTTTGGGACTGGGAACAGACGGGAAACCCATCCGAGAGACGTTGTCGTTTCGACCACGCTCAAGCGCACCCACTCCAAGATGACCCAACAGAGCTCAAGAGAAGAGGCCTGTCCCGTGAGTCCTGAGCCCCCCGAAGGTGGCGGGGCTACCCAATGCCACCACAGGCTGCTGGAAACTACCCAAAAAGGCCACAAATCATGGGACCAAGCGTAAGCAATCACAGCATGCCACTTCCCCATCGACCCATTAATGGGATGAATCACCCCAGGCTGACAACGAAGACGGGTCTGAAGGCAGCGTTGGCTCCAAAACTGGCAAAAAACCAGCGTTGAATGTAATGAAACGCCATTTTCTGGGTGAGTCCCCGGAGCTATCCATGGCTGATATGGATGCCCTAACTATTTTGCATCAGTCGATGTGGGTGGAGTTCTAGGCCTACTGGGGACCACGAGCCAGAACCTGGCCCCCTCAGAGAGGCACGGGGAGCAATGGCCCATAGAATTGCACATGTGATTTGGAGCATTCTATATCTGCCATCGACCGGGACAGGCACCCAGAAAGGTAAGCGCCACAAAACAAACCCCTATTCTGGTTAACAACAAAAATCGACAAACGAGTGGACAGAACTCCCCCAGAAAAACGAACTAACAAGCATGACGTCACACGAGCCGCGTCGCATGTCTGCGCAGCTTCCCCCTCCCCGGGAGGGGGAAGGGGGAAGACCCAGACCCCCTCGCCCCCGATCCCCGCCCCAGTTCTGAGGCTGGATATCAAAACCGCGAAAAAAAAATGCCGACCAGAGGGAGGGAGGGTGCCGGGAAGCCTCGCGGACTCGCCTACAAATTGCCGTTTCATTACATTCAACGCTGGTTTTCTGGGGAGAGCCCCTACGGCTCCCTGGAGCTACTTCACCAAAGACTACCTAAGAAAACAAGGGGACATACCCGGGAGGCGGTCGGTGCACCACTCCTCAACACGAAGTCGAGACAACAACCCAAGGACACCTCCAGAAAGCAGCAGGCACATCATGCGCCAGAAAAAGGGAAAACGGCTGCAGACGAAGAAACCTATGACCACGACCCTAGGAGCCAAAAACCACTGCGTCTGAGAAGAGCATGAAGCTCTGCCACACGACCCCCAGAGGCCAATGCCAACATAAAAAGAGAGCCGTAGCAAAGCAAACCTGAACCGAAGGAGCCACAACACACCAAGGAGAAGAAAAACAGGAGAGCACCCTGTCCAAAGACCAGGACGGCACAGGCAGTGCATGAGCAGGCCGGAGGTGAAACAACGCACGAGACAGCCTGCGAAACGGCGCAGAAGGAACATCGATACCGAAAGCTAGCAGCAGAAACCAAGGTGCCAGACCCAGGAACGGCCCCAAGTGCCTCTACATCCTCCGCAAGCCAATCCTATGACAGCCCCAGGAGGGAAAAGAAACGCAGGACCAAAACCAAAATGCCACAAGCGTGCAATTCCACCGCCACAAGTGCAGCCGACAGGGAAGGAACCCGGAGCCACCCCGCAAAGATCCCGCAGAAGGGCAGGAGCAAAAAGACACTCATTAAGAGGAGCAAAATCGCCCCCAGGAAAACGAGCAGCGCCGAGACAGCACTAAGAGAAGAGATATGAACAAAAGAACAAGAAGGCCAAACACCCATAAGCTGCCTGGAATAGGACCCACAAGCCCTAGAAAGGAACGGAGGGAAGCCCGAACGACGACAGATGACCAGAAAACGGGAAGGAGCAAAACCGTCCCGAACCTTCGAGAACAAAAAGAAGCAAACACAAAGGATGAAGGCACAAAAACC